GGGGATGTTTTGAAAATGAAGGTAATAATTTGATGGGAATTGATTTAGTATTTTGAGGAGAAGCTGAATATAAAAATCCAAGTGTGATTCGTTCTGGTTGTGTTAATATTTAGGAAATGGTGAAAAGCATAATAAAGTGATTGATATTTTCATACATATATATAAGTGAGTGTTTGATTGATGACAGAAATATATTATAAAATATATAAAGAGTATTAAGTTCATTAATTAGTCTTATTGAGTGGGGTTTCAAAAGGCATCGTGTTCTTGAGCAATTTAATAGCCTCTATCAATAGAACGATAAAAGGATGCTTGAGAGAGTTGCCTGTCTGCTTGAGTGTTTGTGATGGTTTGGATTCGAACTTCGAGTTTCTATTATTATCTTGGTTTTGGTTTGCTAGTACAAATGCCCATGTTTTTAATCGTTAGTAATATTAATAATAAATGAATTGCGCTGTTTGCGGATTAAATTTTGAGAGGAAAGATAAAGGATGTTAGTAAATGGAATGTTAACAATGTAAATTGAAATATCATCGATTCTGTTATGGCTACAATAATTTGGATGGAGTATGTGATCCTTGCTAAGACATAGCAAAGAAACCATTATGCTGTATCTGTGGATAGAAAGGTTTACTAAAACGACTCTCCGATTAAAGTGGAGTATACGTGCATGTGTCCTGTGCAATTTTCGCACCGCATATCCAGGTGATCAATTATCATACAATGACCTTTGCTACCAAAAGTTAAATAGACAAAAAAAACTAAGGAGAAATGCTCCCAATTGTGGAAAAAGTGGAGCAAATATCCAATGCCTAGATTGTCAAGCTTATGCCCATCCTCATTGCATTTTTGTAGAATAAGTGGAGAAGGCCTAAGAAGACATAGAAACAGAATAGTGGATCTTCCATTTAAAGTTTTAAGCAAACAATTAAGATCCAAATCAATTGGATGTGGAGTCAGGTGAAATTAAATGTGAGTTAAAAGAGATTCAGGATGCCTTTTGCAATGCCCTTGACAAGTTTTAGGACAAATCCAAGAAAAGAGGAAACCAGACACAATAATACAAGGAACATGTAAAAAACATTTTGGAATCTATTTTTGATAATTACACACTACAACAATGCAATCAACAATGGTCAGCATAGAATAAGATAGAGAGTTATTGTTAAGTGCATATGGAAAGTCATCGATTATTTTGTATATGTCGTAAATCTTTGAATAATAAGCAAATGGTGTAATGTGATCATTGTTATGAATGGTATCATTTCGGATGTATTAAACGTAAGAATGTAAAAGATGACAGCTACATCTGTGAAGCATGTAAAGGATGGAGTGCTAAGAGAACTAAGATAGATTTGGAAGATCCCAAATTACTAAACTTTGAAGATTTGGTTGTTCCTAAGAGTGTCTACATATTACACTTGATCGACTTGCTCCCCTTGTTATTATACATTGAGTCAATCATGAAGAGATTGCCGTCCATTCCTTTAGATGAGAATGACTATAGAAATATCAAATTTTACAAACTCTTCTTGGCCTCATTACCCATCAAACCTTCCACTGTTATCCAATTAGACAAGATTTTATTGAAGGAAAAACTACAGGAAGAATTAAAATAGAAAATGCACTCTATCATACCCACCTAACTTGAATAGAGTGAGCAATTTGCAGAAGAATTAGTTAAATTTTTTAAATTCAAAGGCTACTACTTTGAATTGGGAGAGAACAAACTCATTAAATCATTTGTGTTGTCAAGAAAGGATATCAAAGCACAGATATAGAAAGGAATTTCTGAAGGATATTTGATGGAAGACACCTTTAAGATTCTCAATGAAAATGTCACAGACAATCAAAAAATATTCAAATCTCCTAATGATAATCTAGGCTAACTCATTAATAGGTACAAAGTGGCATAGCAAATCAAGACTACTTTGAGATCTTTATTTGAAGCAGAGAGAATGCAAATTGAATATCCAGTTATTGACAATCAACTTGATTTGACCGTTTATAAATAATAGATTTTGATGAAGAATTAAAAAAATAAACCCAATAAATTGAAGTTGATGGATTTAAAGAGGATGGCCAATCATAATAATGTGACTTTGGGATGTCTCAAGATTATTGATAAACTATTAGAGGAACTCAACGCGTTGGAATAGGAGAACGTTCAGAGTTCCTATAAGAAGATTATAGAATTCCCAGTCAATAGTGACTCTCTCATAAATTAGTTATAATCTTATTTTGATTAAGAATTTATTGATGAATTCAAAGTGGAATTGGAATTGAAGATTGAGAGTTTCTGTAGATTGACTGAAAAGGAGTACACAGGAGTGTATACATATGATAACATCCAAAAGGCTGCTAAAGACTCGATTGTAATAAGGAGTGTGTATAATCAATTGTAAGAAATTCATTAGAAGTGTCAAACTTAAAAAAAAGTAACTATTTAATTTTGTCATGAAATATTAGATATGATGTCAAAGTGCTTATTAACATCAACCTATATGGAAACTCAAAAGGCTAAATTCCTGAAATTCAGAGAACTCTACAAAAGGTTGAATGAATCAATCACACTGGAACAGTTGGAGGAGATTGAACATGAATGCTTTTAACTTGGATTTGATATGGATGTAGAACAAAGGAGATCACAATTGGTCTAAGCACAGGAAATCATCCAAAATATCCAACCTAGTTTGGGTGATTCCTTGGAAGAATTCAAAAAGCTCAAGTCTCTTTAATTGGACACTTACATTAAGTAAACTGAATAGCAAATAGACTTTGTGAAATAATTATATTATTTGGTATACAATTCATATGATACATTGCCTAAGATGATTTAGAAAGTAAAAGATATCTCAGATTTAGATTTCAATAATGAATTAATTTACAAAGTTGCAATTCCAGAAGTCGTCTATGATGAAATGAAATCAGTAGTATTAAATTTTAGATAAATCAAATGGAGATGCGAGTGCTAATTAATTCCTAGATCAACCAAATCAAACCATGATCCAAGGGGGTAACAAAAAATATAATATCAGCCACAATAATTCAATTGTTAAATGCTGATCCCCCAAATCTAAGATCCATTCTACACTTAACAACTCTAGAAGATCAAGAAGGAATACGAGAGTTGGATCATCAATTTGTAGGAGTTCGAGAATCAATTGGCAGGTCAAGTTGCACCTCATTTCAATCAGCTGATCAAATTGATCAATAAGAACCAGTATCAAGAGAACAATTTGCAAACCAAATTGTGGCAATACTACATTTAGATGCTTTGGATGCAAAAGGCAGAAGAGTTTATTGAGGCTAAGGCCAATCCCTAGGCTTACAAGACATTGATCTCCTGTGCGACATATGCAAACATAGATTCCAACAACGTCTTATTATTGAAACTTAAGGACCATATCTTCATCATGGATGACTTGGGTAGAAAACTGAAGGAATATTAAGAACAACGATTTCTGTGGGTTAAGAGTAGGGAGTAGATCAACAATTTGCAATCGTATAAATCTTACTATAAGTATTTGGAAAACAAGCCAGATGCAGAGTAGATCAATCAAATATACATTCAAGCCAAAGAGTATCCAATATTCAAAGTAAAAGACTTAGCTGAAGATCTGTAAGAAGTACGTTAGGTGTTGCAATAATATAATGACTTAGTACAAAAACAGCCAGACAATAATTTGTACATTCAGCAATTGTAAAAGATAAGGACCTATTACTGTTGTTGTTTTTTGAAGGTTAAGAATTTCTGTGTCTAATTGATGTACAACATGATAAAGTAGTAATCATTGAAATGTTTGAAATAATTGAATCCTACAGAGTAGATTTTACAGAGACTGGAAGAAATCAACCTTTTGGTTGCGAT